AGACAGATTTGTGAACAATATTTGAGAGAAATAGGCCTTTTGTGTACATAGAAAAAGTCTTAGATCTTTGAGTTCAGCTCATGAAAAATGGGGGCAAAAACAAAAGTGTTGCATTTATAATTTTGTTCAGTGTATAAAGCAGTGCTTGGGCTGGCTCCAGATTACATTTGTGACTTGGTAACTCTTTCCACACCTTCTCGCTCTCTCCACTCTGCTGGTTGTTTTTCCTTGTATCAGCCTTGTTGTAAGTTAAAAACCATGGGGGGAAGGCTTTTTCCTATAACACGCCTAAGTTATGGAATGCATTACCTGTGTGTAACAAACGTTTGTAGGTCGGGAAGAAGGAGGCGGGAACCGGCGAACACTCAAAGAAACTTTAATAATAAAATAGCGCGACAGCCCCTCGCGGACGACTGCCGCGCACAAACGAAACCAACACACAAAATAAAATCCAGGCCTGGTCCTCTCTCGTCTTTCCCTGTCGTCACTCCTCCTTTGTATCCTTCCGGAGCTCCTCCGTGAGACTCGAGACCGGCGAGTGGCGCAGATGTCGCGCATTCGCAATTACTCCACCGGCCTCGCTCCGTTCCCCCGGCTCTCGGCCCCGCCCCTCTCGTCACACTGAGTTTATTAGGGATGCTGCTTTCTTGGATTGTTTTAAGAAACTTCTTAAGATTGATCTTTTTACTGAAGCTTTTAATTTATGACTATTACTATGATTTTATTTTTGATATTTGTTTGTAGATGTTGTAGCGCTTTGAGTATTAAGAAAGGCGCATTACAAATAAAATGTATTATTAATATTAACGTCATCAAGTTAATGAACGTAATGTGGAGCTTTTCATAACACTAGCTTTATTTGTGCTGCGCTCGCCAATGAGAAAACACAGTTAGAGTGATTCAGCTTTTGCTCCCTTGGGTGTGAAAAAGTTCAGGCCCTTTTTTAATAAACTGATTGTAGATCTGTTGTTCTTTAGCACCGGATCCCTGTCGGATTGATGATTATTCCTCATCTGTGACTTTCTCTGCTTGCTTTTTTCCACCTGGAAGATTTCAAGCCCTTTTTCATTGTAATTGCCTTGAAATCTTCATCTCCAAACTGAAGATAAAAATGATCTTTAGTATCTCATAGCTATATATAAATGTACATATCTTTGCTTCACTATGTGTGTGTGTGTGTGTGTGTGTGTGTGTGTGTTTATATATAAATAAATATATATTTCTGTCTTGACAACTCTCGAAGGGATTGGCATGGTAATGTACATGACAATGTTAATGTATTTGGTCTTGGCGGAATAGATCTGCTACACTGCTGCTGCTTCTCATCCAATACTGCTGCTGCACATATAACACATATGAATAACCCCCATATAGCATACATGAATCACCCCGTAGCAGATCTATACAGGTGGAGCTGGGGAAGGTGGAGGGTTTCTGAAGTGCGCTGCCAACTGCTACAGCAAACAAAAGCCAGGTATTTGAATATTGAGCATCGAGCTCACTGGCTACCGATACAGGTTAGAACCAATCAGCTGCCATGTGACAATGATGTCGCCAGGTCAGATTGTGCTAGACCTATCGGACTGCGCCATCTAGAGTTCAGGGCTTAAAATTAAAATTAACAGTGTTGTTCAATACAATCATGTCATTTCTTGGTTTTGATATTTTATTTTAGCCAATTATTATTGCCTCATCATTAGATTATATATAAATAGTCATACTAAAGCCTGGTTTTCACTTAGGTCTGTTTGTTGCAAAAAAATATCAGATTACTCAGTTGTCAAAATAATCAGTAGATTACTTGATTACCAAAATAATCATTAGTTAAGGGTTACGATCAGGCAAGAGGATCCGCGTTCCAGCAGTGGAGAGAACTCAAGGAGCGGGAAGGGCTCGGATCAGACGCCGAGGTTGCGTTGTTTTTTCTTGATAGGTGAGTAATGTTGATTTTAACGTGTTTGTTTTGGTGCTTTCAAATATCAACATTGTTTGGCACAAATTGCTTAGTGCACATTTAAATCTGTTTTTTAGACCGTTCAAACTGCAGAATTAAACTTTGGTGCAGATTCACAGAAAGGTTTTTTTGTTCAAACTTTGGATGAACGTTGAGTTGATCTGCAGCACAGATGAGGCGGGGGGGGGAGAAACATCACAAATCCACTGCCAAAACTCGTATTAAAACATGCTTCCTCATGTAGCTGTCAAATAAACCTGCCATATATTATATTATGTATATGCTGTAAGCTCCTTGACAAATTGCTTTTGTTTCTCTTTTGTAAGAGGCTTTGGATAAGCGTGTCTGCTAAAGGCATACATTTAAATGCAATACTAACCCTAACCAAGGGTTTTCTGGTTAGCAAGGCCCTGTTATCCTTGCTGCTGGATGCTATGTTTATCTAGTTGTAAAACAGCAATCAAAAAAGTATATATATTTCTGTCTTGACAACTCTCGAAGGGATTGGCATGGTAATGTACATGACAATGTTAATGTATTTGGTCTTGGCGGAATAGATCTGCTACACTGCTGCTGCTTCTCATCCAATACTGCTGCTGCACATATAACACATATGAATAACCCCCATATAGCATACATGAATCACCCCGTAGCAGATCTATACAGGTGGAGCTGGGGAAGGTGGAGGGTTTCTGAAGTGCGCTGCCAACTGCTACAGCAAACAAAAGCCAGGTATTTGAATATTGAGCATCGAGCTCACTGGCTACCGATACAGGTTAGAACCAATCAGCTGCCATGTGACAATGATGTCGCCAGGTCAGATTGTGCTAGACCTATCGGACTGCGCCATCTAGAGTTCAGGGCTTAAAATTAAAATTAACAGTGTTGTTCAATACAATCATGTCATTTCTTGGTTTTGATATTTTATTTTAGCCAATTATTATTGCCTCATCATTAGATTATATATAAATAGTCATACTAAAGCCTGGTTTTCACTTAGGTCTGTTTGTTGCAAAAAAATATCAGATTACTCAGTTGTCAAAATAATCAGTAGATTACTTGATTACCAAAATAATCATTAGTTACAGCCCTGGATTAGTTAAAATATTTCTAAATACAACTGCATTGTTTTACTTTTTGTAATTAAAAGACAAATATTTTGTCATTGAAAATGTTTAAAAAATAGTATTAAAATATTGTCTTGTTCTAGTGAACCAAGTATCTGTATTTTGTGTGTATGATACAGTTTTCAGTCTTCAGGTTAACCATATACTCATGAAAAAAAAATCAGTTTGAATAAAGAAAGCAGTAACTTTGCCATAGTATCCTGTCAAATGTTAAAGTTGCCACAGTCATTGCATACTTTGCATGTGCTGCCCCGCCCCCGAAAAAAAGTTCAGGCTCAGGATTTTTGTTTTGCTTTAACCCCTGAGAGTTTCATGCCAGAACTCTGTGTGTGTGTGTGTGTGTGTGTGTGTGTGTGTGTGTATATATATATATATATATACACACACACACACACACACATACATACAATAATAATGAAAAGAAAATATATGAAACGTATGAATGTTTTAAAACAACTGGGTTTTATTGCAGATCCTCAAGTCATCCAGTGCTCAGTCTCCAATCAAAGAACGAACCCGAGGCAAGTCTTTATCACCGCGCCGCCGAGCAGGCAGCAGCCCTCAAAGACGCCAACATGTCCACAGAAGAGACAAATCGTAAGTAATGGACACTTTGATGTTGAGGAAACTCAGTTCTGAGAAATAAGCTGTGGAAAATATCCACTTGTGTGTAAGTCACTTGGTAGAAAAGTTTCTGTCAAGAAAATAAGTATAAATGCAGTCTTAAGCTGTCAGTGGTTTATTGGCAGCTGTGACTCATCATGACTTGCAGCAGGCCATGCAAGCTTAAAAAGTAATTACTTGGGTTGCATTTATTTAATGTTGACATATTTTTAGTGATCTTCATATTTCGGGTGATTATGCTCTTGGAATGTAATTAGACAGTTTTATTAATAATCCTTTGAAAATTAGCCATTCAAGGAGTGTTTACAATGACAGGCATTAAATCTGATGTCACCAAGATGCTGTACTGCTAAAAAACATTTTTTTAATTATACATATTTAGGTTATAATATGTATGTTGTTGTGCAGCTTAGTATTTTGTGAATTCTTTGGTAATATTATAAATGAATGTCTTTACCATCACTTTTGATTCAATGCATCAACTTTTGAATGGTAGTGTATACATGTATTTATTTATATATTAAGTTATCTTTTACTATACAGTACAGTACACTACTGTTCAAAAGTTTCTTATGCTCATCAAGACTGCATTTATTTGGTCAAAAATAAATTAAAACTGTAAGAAGAAATTAATCCTTTTATTCAGCAAGGATATGTTAAATTGATAAAAAAAAGTGATAGTAAAGACTTGTATTGTTGTTATAAACGATTTTTATTTTGAATTCTATTCTATTTTAATATTCATTCAATTAAATCATAGCCTTTTGAAGATTAATAAAAACTTTAGGCTGTTTTACAATTCCTGTTTTTTCCATCGCCAAATTTAATTAAGAATTAAGACATTTGTTATTAATACTTAGGCTTTTTATGAGCTAAAAAAATTATTAAACAGAGGGAATTTTTTATTTATTTTCACACTGTTCCTATCTAGTTTTAGTTGCAAGTGAAATGCTCACACTGTCATGCCCAGATGTTGAGCGGTGGTCACTGAGGTTACTGAACACTTGAAGAAGACACACATTGTCTGATCATGTTTCGTGTCCATGCAGTGGCTTTAACCCAGTGTATTCTCATTAGAGCCGTGATGGTGACACTGTGAAGCAGGTGCTGGCAATCCGTTGATTAATCTCTTCTAGCAGCACATGGTTGGCCGCTTCTCGTGTTACTAAAGCACTAACCTGTTCCTCTCGTCCAGGTGCTTGACTTATGGATTCAAAGTTTCTATAGCAGCGCAGCGCAAATACTGGTGGAGAAGCTCTTTTATTGTGCCAAGTGGAGCGGATAGCCCCTTTTAGCTCTACTGATCACTTTACAAGTGAGACTTCGGGCTGCTTTTGTCTGTGGTGTTGAGGAAATAAGGTTCCTTTCTTTTTAGTTCCGCCCCTGGGAAATATAGGCAGTGCACTGTATCTACTAAGAAGAGAGTCATAAAAAGTGACATAGTGGTAGATAGCAAAGCTTCCTCTCTGAAAGAAGTGGTCATTTTAGAAAGACATATATACATAGGGATCCCTAAGCTGTGGGGAAAAAAGACCTAGAGCAGGGAGTTAGGGGTAATTATTTAAGCGAAGTGGCGTTTTAAACACTTGCAGCTAATGTGACTCTCCTCTGCTGTCAGTACAAGCTGCCCTCGGGCAGTACACTGGGTTGGCGTTCGCTCTAATAGGATGCGACGAGTCCAATGCAACAGCTGTGGTGGATGCGGGCTTCATTGACATGTCACGCTGAAATGAACCAATGAATAATCCTTCTGCATAAACATACAGTGATAATCAGAAGGTCCTGTTTATGTTTTAGCATTTCAGAGCTCAGCGTCTGATGATGTAACTAAATCCTCTGAAGCACCGGATCATGTTAAAGCTGCTGTGCTTTAGTTTGCATGTGTGTTTGTCAATGCTCTGTGAATTTTAGCTGACGAAATAAATATGATTATGAATTTCACGTAGGAGCAAAAGATTTCTCCATACAGAATTTGCCACGGGCTTAAGTTGGTTGTGCGTTGACGGAAAGCTGCTTAATTTGAAAGTGACTTCTGAATTTGAAAGTGAATTCTGATTCGTTGTAGTGAATCGGTTTGTCCTAAATGGTCTATTCTTATATATATATATATATATATAAAACTAGTTCATCCTAAACAGTCCTCGTTCATCTTAACAGTCCTCAATGATTCAATGGTCTTATGTAGTGTTCGAAATGCCAGTTAATTCAAGTGAATCGATTCATTCAGACGGTTCATGTAAATTAACAGATAAAACATAAAAAAAAAAAAAAGTATTCACTGATTAAGATCCCTGAACTATGTTTAGTTTTGAAGATTAGTGTGTTTTTGCTGCGTTTGGTATAAACTTAACATTTCAGGTTTTATAATTTTACTGAAATTGAAAAAACCCCACATTTTACTTAAGTGCTTAAGTCCTTGATGTCTTGAAACGAAGTAAGATTCTGAAAAAGACAGCAAGCCCCATCACAACCATCAAAGACGCTCATCTAGAGTATGTTTGTTAAGCAATTTAAAAATACCACAGCAACGTCCCCTATGTGTGTTCAAGCTTGAGCCGTTGAGTTTCGTTTAATTACATGTTGTATTGTAGTGCTTCTTTTGACACGTCTAAAAAAAGAACTCTTGATTGTTGTGTCTCACAATGCTGTAATTATTTAGTCAAACTAATATACCTCTAAGATGATAGGATGAACCGCACAAGGCATGAAATGATACTAAAGTTTAGACTTCAAATCTGTGGACCTCCTGCTTCCCAATCGGAGCTATTTTTGCTGTGTTCCATAGCACCTTCCTGTCACATGGTCTGAGATGTTAATTACTGAGCAGCAGCTGAAACACACCACACATTTAACGTCAGCATCACCCTCAGTTACACTGAGGAACTGCACAGCAAATGCATCTCTTGGCAGATGAGTACAGTGGAAAGAATTATAAAGTTACGAAATGAAGTCACGCTGAATCTGCTCTCCAACTCCCCCGCAGTTCTACAGCTGATGATTATGAGGTTTTGCCACTGTCATAAAATCCCCTGCAGACATGCAGCATGTGACAGTCCCTGAAGCTCTTAAAAGGAAACGTCTTATACAAATACTACATATATTCTGTCATTATTTACATGTATGCTGTGTATTGTGTTTTATAGGATACAAAATGAGGCTTTGTTGAAGAGTCTTAATGTAATTCTTTAAGATTTAACTTCCAATGTTGGGGTAACGCATTACAAGTAACACGAGTTACGTTATTAGATTACTTTTTTCAAGTAACGCATTACTTTTAATTTAAAAAAGTTACCTTTTAAAATAAGTAACATAAGATACTTTGCTTTCTCATTTATTCACTGACAGCTCTCCTGTCCCTGTGTTGAGAGAAATAAATATCACTTTTGGGCTTTTTGTTTTTAAAGATATGCAAGCCCAGCAAAACTAACGTAATGCATTACTTTCCATGAAAAGTAACTAGTTACTTTTTTTATGGAGTAACGCAATATTGTAATGCATTACTTTTAAAAGTAACTTTCCCCAACACTGGTAACTGTAGCTCTTATCAGGTAACTAATGACCACAACTGTCATAAACTCCCAAAAGGACAAAAACAAGCAAACAAAAGAAACAAAATTATCTTAAAGGAACACTCCACTATTTTTGAAAATAGGCTCATTTTCCAACTCCCCTAGAGTTAATCATTTGAGTTTTCCATTTTCAAATCCATTCTGCCGATCTGTGACCAAAGGGTTTCTATATTTTTCCTATTTAAAACTTGACTCTTCTGTAGTTACATCGTGTACTAAGAACGACGGAAAATAAAAAGTTGCGATTTTCTAGGCCAATATGGCTAGGAACTATACTCTCATTCCAGTGTAATAAATCGGCCTAGAAAATCGCAACTTTTCATTTTCCGTCGGTCTTAGTACACGATGTAACTACAGAAGAGTAAAGTTTTAAATAGGAAAAATATAGAAACCCTTTGGTCATTTTTGAGCGAGATGCTAACGGTCTAATCAGATTCAACGTTCAGATCCTATTTTCAAAAATAGTGGAGTGTTCCTTTAAAAGGAGTCCAGAGAACTTACTGAAATAGTCTACTGAAACCATATAAGTTTAAACCATATACGTTTGTGTGAGGAACAAACCAAAATTGCCCAAAAGGTTCATGTGTAAAACCGTTGTTGTATGGCTTTTTTTGTGTACAAAAATCATATTTTTGTATATTTCTGTGTTTATGGAGGAACTAACAGTTATAACAAAGCCATAATAATATGGCTTTGCAGTGACATGAGAGGAAATAATGACAGAATTTACTTTGCGTGAACTGTTTCTTTAAGGTTGCAATAAAATGGATTGTAGTTCTTGAAAAGGGAGTTTTAAAAAACGAAATATCTCCCTTTGGAGGGGACTTTGAGATTTGTAACTCTTTTTAAAAAAAAAAAATTTTTTATGCCCAAACATACACACTACACACTGACTAAAATTAAAAAAGTGAAAAAGCATAATATGACCCCTTTAAAATTTGGTGTCAAATTTTTCACTCAGAATTTTATATTAAATTTGACCGTTAATTACAGAAAATGGCAAGTAAAACATTGAATTAAATATTACTTTTTAAAGTAAAGACTGAAATAGCATTTTCTTGTTAAGTGTACTCCTGTGATCTGTTTTATTTACAACTTTGAAAAATTCCGTATTGACATTTTTCTGAGTGAAGCAGATTATTGAAAAAGTAAAAAAAAATGTAAGGTTGGAACTTAGTTCTTTGCAATGCTAGTTTATTGGATGGACGCAGATCTGAATGTGAGCTTGCAGTCAGTTGTAAAAAGAAGGGGAATATAAGTGGACTAAACGATTGGAAAAGGCCTGCATACGTCATCAGAGAAAAAGATCCAATTATGTTTTAATTAAAAATGACAAGATCAAAAAAGTTTTAATAACATCTATAACTCACATTTACAAAATAGATGAAAATTCTCACTTCAAGCTCTGCAGTCCCATTCCCTGCTGATTTTCTCACCACAATTTTCTGTCCATCATTAAAGACCAGAAACACCCAGAAGATAAAATGAAAATATGCATGTGATTCTCTCCAGAGTTCGGAGTTTGCGTTATTCTTCCTAAAGGTTGTTCTTCAGCTGTCAAAAAAGTGCATTGGGAAATATAATTCTTAGTATTTGTTTCTAATATTGGCCAAACCAAGACTGATAATAAAAAAACTAAAGTCACACTATTACTGTTTTGACTGTATTTTTAATCAGTGAAACCTTGGTGAACATAAGAGACGTATTATATAACTTATATATTTGATCAGTTATGTGTCTTAGGGTTGAGATATAAAAGTGTGTTTGTTTTGACTAATCATAAGGCTGCTATTGTGGTTTCCTGCAATGACAAATCTATTTACATTTATTTGGTAACACTAATGTTTGCCTGAGAAACTTTCATTCTTAGTCTTTTATGAAGGAAGGAATTGTAAAAGGCAGAGCTGGAGAGGACCTGCCTTGGCACTGCTGTGCGATTGATCGCCTGGCGTTGAAGCACATGCTTCAAATAGCCCACATCAGTCAAAAGAACATGGAGATTGACTGTTGATTTGAAGAGAAGTAACATAAAAGTGAATAGTGGAAGGGAAAATGTGATAGACCTTTGAAGGCAACAACAGTTACGGCTGTGCTGGAGGACTGTGATGGAACACTTTGATCTTCAGCAGCTCTGTGTTCTCAGCAGGACTGAAAGTGGTGGTTGAACATATTAATGCGATTTATCTCAGCAAATAAACCTGTGGGATAAAAAAGGTGTGAGATTCAATTTAGTGATAGACTAAAACAACAGTTTGTCCACGAACTGTGTTTATCTAACAGCACTTGACATTTTTAGTGTTTATATCAATTCACTTGACTGTGTTAACAAGAGAGCAAAAGTAAAAGAAATTAGCTGGCCATATTCTGTCTAAAATGTAATTGGCTCAATATTTAAAGTAAACTAGGTAGGTTTATTTGTCAGGGACTATATTTTCTAGCGGAAGGTTGAATTTGCTTAACAACAAAACTTTAATATAAGATTGTGTCCTTAATATTTTTATTATTTTGTATTTTTACACTACTGCTCAAAAGTTTTGGGCTCAGTGAGACCTTTTTTTTAAACTTTTATACAGCAAGGATGCATTAAATTGATCAAAAGCTATTAATTTCTATTTCAAATAAATGCATTTTTTTTTTAACTTTAAATTCATCAAAGAATGCTGGAAAAAAGGTTTCCACTAAAATATTAAGCAGCTCAACTGTTTTAAACATTGATCTTAATAAGACATGTTTCTCAGCATATTAAAATGATTTCTGAAGGATTGTGTGACTGAATACTAGACACAAATTCCACATTGCATCACAAAAATAAATTACATTTTAAATATAGATCAAAATAGAAACAGCTATTTTAAATTATAAAAATATTTTACAATACTACTGTTTTTACTGTATTTTTGATCAAATAAATCCAGCCTTGGTGAGACTACTTTCAAAAACAATAAAAAAAAAATCATAGAGCCCAAACTTTTGAATGGTTATGTATATCAATATGTTGTTTATTTAGCATTTTTTATTTATTACATTTTTTTATGTATATTTTTTTACACAATTATATCATTTATTAAAATAATATGTACTGTATACTAATTTCATTTTTTGGGGGCCTTCTTACACTCTTACTAATGTGGTTAATTCTGCTCTAAAACATTTCATCCATGAACCAAAAGGTTCAGCATATTTGCGCAACAATAATCTCTAAAATGAAGCTAACCTAAACATGTTTCTTTGCAGGCCAGCAGCACTGGACAGAAAGCCAGCAGAGCTCAGCACCCTCAGTGATGGCTACCAGATCCGCATCTAAGACACTAAACGTACCAGCTTTATCCTCCACACATCCCCCCTCAGTCAGATCCACTGAAGATGTTTTTAAACACTATTTAATGCACATTGTGAACTGTACAGGATATTGAACACATTTATAGTTGTACTTTCATGTTAGAGAGAGCATTTGGTGCCCTTCTTAAAGTCAAAAGCAAAAGTTGAAAGCAATTTTAAAAAATGTTTTTAACAGAATATGATGTTCCTTTTCCAGCCATGACATTTTTTTTAATAGTGGAACATTTAAGAGCGAAGGATATTAACTTTACTTTAAAAAATGTTTTTACCCTAGTAATTGTCAAGTATTTTAAAAGTTGTGAACTGACTGAAATATTCAAGCAAATATGGAAAATGTGGGGGAAAGGCTCTATTTTTGGACAGAATGTCCACAAGCAGTGAGAGCTGGAGTTTGAATGGATTGTGCTTGGCAGAGAGATGTAAACCTCAGTGCCTCGTGCTGTGCTGCTGGTAGTTTTGGGGGCTGACTGGCCTAGAGGAGAGAAGACGTAAGCTTTTTTTGCCAGAAGCGCAAGGACACAAGGGACCTAAGCTTCAGAGAGCTACTCATTCTGCCCACAAGAACTGTATTCAATCCACTTTACATTTTTTTTGTTTTTTTTGTTACCTGCATACAGTCCCAAACGCTCCTGTGATATGGAAGGAATGGACATGATTTAGTGACTAAAGTTTGACGTCAGCTTACATTGAAGGCTTTGTACGGTTTTTATTTTCTCATAAAAATGTCAGTTGCAGTTGTAGAGATTTTTTTTTTACCGGTTGTTAAACCAGTACAGTATTTTGTGGTTTTATGTTTTTTGAGCATCTCTGTCCTAAAAGGACATGGTGACGGGGGGGGGAAAAAACTTGCATTCTCCTGCGAAACAAAAGTTTTTGCGAGGGAATGCAAAAGCAAATATACATTTTTAAATATTAAGTGGGAGAGAAAACTATTTTTCAATGCTTTTTCCAGCGAACGCAAATTTTATTGAGGGAACGTGATACTTTTGCGACATTGAAATATAATTTTTAGGATATAAAAGTTTCTTGGGGGGGGGGGGGGGAGCAATACTTTTACAAAAGCGATCAACCGCTCAGTTTCTCAGCAAAACTTACAAGAGAGTTTCTTGAGAGAATGCAAAAGTTTTGCTGGGGAACGCAAAATCATTGAAATGTACATTTTACTCCCATCTCATATTTTTTCCATCACCATGTCCCTGTCCCCTTTATCAACAGCATATCACTTTGAATTTTCTCACCTCATGAGATTAAGCTATGCACATGGAGAAGGTCTGCCAATCCGTCCTTCTTGACAGCAGACCTGTCTTTAAAATTGTAGCAGTGACATTGTTACCAATTCTTCATGGGTTGTGTGAGCGGTTCCTCTCTGAACGATGTTTATTGGGTGCTATTGACTAAACCACCACATTATAGCTAGCTCATTCTGCCTTGTAATTGGTACCAGCTTTCTATCAAAAGCTACCGAACCACACAAGTGCCAGCCCCATTGAATACATCCAAATCATCCATAGGGCTGAAGGTTTAATCCCAGTCACATGAAGATGAAAGGTCATGAGTTTCAAGGACATATCTAATGTACCATGTTGAATTGCTCAGACCCTTTCTGGGAGAGAAGCGGCCTGCTGCTGAAGAACACCACATTGTTACTGATTTCTATCATTTATAACTTCTTGTTTAACTAATCAGATGTGTGAAATTGTGAGTGAAACTTTATGGCAGACAAAAATGTTTTAGTTTGTAAATGGCTTTCTGGTTTTAAGGAAATGCAGTGATCTCCCCTCAAAGGTGCTAAGATGAGACATGTTACCCATTATAAAATTCAATTATTTTAGCACTGACTCTTTTTTTATGATTAAAGAGCACATTAAATTTATGTTTCTGTAGCACAATGATTAGAAAGTGAGTTTATCTCGGTTACAAGATACGTTTAATGGTATGCATTACCAAAAAACAATTCATATGTGAAATGAATAGTCATGAGATTGTAGATGGAATTTTGGTTTCCATGTGTTAAATGCGGGCTTGCCTGAAAATACAATCAATTTTGATGAATGATAAATAATCACAATTTTAAAGGAAATGTTTTTCTCAGTAAGAATGTTAATGATGTGACTCATTATGAAGACCTCAACTTGTCCTCAGTTTTCTGTTCATATTTTTCATATTATAAATGTATTGGCCTAAATAAGGATTCATTTAACCCTCAACTGTCTTATACACATTTTTCGTAAGCCTTACCTCGGCTTGCACCATTTGTCCTCTTTTCTGTCATAAATTTGTTTTTGGGTCACCTCAGTTCCCCCACGATGAAACATTAATGTAATTTGTTCATTCCTCTATAGCATGTTTTAATAAAATCTATTGTTTTTCTGTAAGTCTGTGATTGGGCCGTTCCCTGTGCTTATTTTCACGGTTCTCTGGAATACTTGATTCTGATCTGGACAATCCGGTGTAACGCAACCGATGCCATTTGATATCGAAAATGATTTCAGACTTAAGAGTATAAGTATACTCTTAATATACTTTTCATAGCAGAAATGTATGTTCTCGTATTTATTTATTTTCCATTTAATAAACTCGTTTATGTTGCTATACTACTGACCGGCTGACTGTACATTACCCATACCTTAGCAGTGAAGACTGGTTTTGTAAGGTTTTAAAACTCAACAAACGCACTCCTCTCTGTGGGCCAAGGATCTGCTCTTGCAAAAGAGAAGCTCTGAGATTAAACCAGGTGATGTAACCTCAGCGTTGCCCTAAATCTCACAGCCACAGTTACAGAACGCAGCCTGAGTGAAGTCTGTCTGTATGGAGGGAATATGCCCACATTAATCTGCTTACAAAGACAGCGTCACACATGAATAGAGCCCCGGAGGATTTACCATTTTTCATCTCTACTCCCAAGATAAAAGGCCTCCTAGAACACCCACTATTGTCTCGCGCCTAGAGAAAATATCCCAGGTCGGTCAAAGAACACCCAAGAATTTCAGCGTCTTATCATCTGGATTTTAATAATCCAGAAATACCGCTGAATTCTTTATCAAATTCTTACGAAACGACCTCAAAGTAACTGCCGCTGTCAGCAAGTTTTCCCTTCACTTTCAGAATATATTCAAACTGTAATGTACATTTCAGTTGCAAAGTCATAAGAATTAGTTGTGGGAACAGGCTTGAAACTGAATGAATGAATATTTCAACTAGTTGTCAAAATTTCACATTTTACTTTGTTGAACTTGATGTAGTACAATAACTAAAACTGAAATAAAAATTCATAAAAATATCAATAAAAATGACAAAACAACAAAGCTTTAAAATCAAAATGAAAACAGAGCTAAAATAAAATTTACTTTAAAATGTTAAATAGCATATGATACTAAAACAACACTGATAATTATTACCATTAGTAAAATGCTCCTATTTTACTTTTCAAATAATTTAATTATAAAATATAATATCAGCACAACAATTTGAAAAGACATGAATTTCAGAATTTCGCTGTATTCAACATGTTGCCCTTTGCTTTAATGACCCCACTGTACATTTTTTGCTAAATAAAGAGCAACACAAAATACTACACAAATAACTGCTTGAAGATAAAATCATTTATTATTTTTCACCTTCTTATAATCTATAAAATGATGCAAGTCCGAAATAGTTAACTTGTAAATCTGGGGAAAAAAATGTACATCTTCAAATGACATGCTTATTGTCAAAGCTGCCATTTTTCATAATAAAACATCCCTAATTTATTGATTACAGTGTGCATGTCACCATTCCATAATGCACTGGGTAAATCAGTTAGCAATAACTTAGACAAGTTATTCCACTTCTGCTTCAAGTTTGTTATAGACTGTCTCAAGAGAATCTGTGAGTCATGTCATTTTTTTGCTGGTGTGAGTTTGTTAGAAAAATGTTCCATCTCTGGCTACAAACATATTAAAGGCTTTATGATACTTGCAAATGCTTTTGTTCAGCTTGAGGGTGCAGACGGAAACGTGTCAAAAGCGGCAGGTGGTCAGAGGAGTTGTGCTGGTTGGGAAGACCGTTAACCTTCTGCAGTTCATCTTCCCCCACCAGGGATAACCTGCCCAGGAGCTGCAGACCCTTCTCTGGTGGCACACTGCATTCTGGGTAAACGAAGGAAAAAATAGTGCCATGGTAACCAGCAGCAGCAGAAATTTTGCTGTTGAATGTACTGCACTGCAGCAAACTGCAGAATCACAAGTCACATGATTACAGGAGCAGTGATGCAACATGTACATTGATAGTCTAGTGGCATCAGCTTCTACTTTGAGGATATTTAAAGGAATAGTTTACCCAAAAATTTAAGTTTGCTAAAAATGTACACCTCCTCAGGCCATCCAAGATGTAGATGAGTTTATTTTTTCATGGGAACAGATCTGGAGAAATGTTCGATTATGTCACTTGCTCATGCATTCTCTGCAGTGAAAGGATGCTGTCAGAATGAGGTTAATGATGGATTTGTTTATTATAAACAAGCAGCTTTTCCCTTCACAAGACATTAATTGATGGACTGGAGTCATGTGGATTACTTGTGATGTTTTTATCAGCTGTTTGGACTCTCATTCCAACGGCACCCATTCACGGCAGAGGATCCATTGCTGAACAAATGAAGTAATGCTACATTTCTGATGAAGAAACAAACTCATAAACATCTTGGATGGCTTGCGGGTGAAGTACACTTTCAGCAAATGTTCATTTTTAGGGAACTGTTCCTTTTACGCAAATACATGTTTATGTGGTGACAGCAACCACAATAGCTGCAGAAATAAATAATCGGAATTTTTATTTGAAATTAAATGCTACATTACACAACAACTATTTCCAATGAATTTAAAAGAGAATAGTAATGTAATGGTCGAACCTGCTTGATCCATCACATCCCCCCGAGCTGCAGAGTAGAAGATGTAATCGACGGTGATGGCTGTCCGTGAGTGGCATGTGGTGATCTCAGGTTGACCGCTCTCTTTCAGGTAGTGGGAGTATGCAGAGGTCAGCTTCAAACAGTGCTCAATGCTGGCCTTGGTAAAACTACAAACAGATCGCATGAGAGAAGAATAATCACTGTTAGTATTTAAAGGAAACCCGGGGTTTTAAGACTTGTATGGCTTAATATAACGTAAATGATGTCTCTT